TGGGATTCACTGAAGTCAGGGCACTAAAGGCTGGCCTGGTAGCCAAACCTGCTCCAGCTACCTCCTAGTTGCTGGCTAACTACCCTACTTGGTTTCCAAACTCCATAATTATGCATAGCACACACATTTTTAATAAATCATTTAAATTTGATGCTAATCTACAGCATCCCCTGAAATGAAAAATGCCACAGAAATCACCAAGCCAAGGGCAGAGGAGGGTCACTGTGCTGCTGGGACACGGATGGACACAACAGTGCTGCACCACGCAAACTCATTAAATCCTCGGGGCAACGCCATGTGACGTATGAAGAAATCGGGAGATTGTTACCTGGCCTAAGGCCACACGGTGCTGGAGATAACACTCAACTCCATGCCTAACCTGGACTACTGAACCTAATGCCAGGCATGGCCCTGCACACCTGCAATCCCCACTTGGGAGGCAGAGGCAGGAAGACTGCAGTGATTTCATAACAAATTCTACACCAGCCAAGACGGCAAAACCGTGTCTCAACAACCTAGACTCTAAAGGAATTTTATTCTGACACTTCACTGGATCTGGAAAAATTACAATGAATAAATAAAGTAACTAGTGCTTTTACATTGCCAAAGTCTCCACGCCCACCACTATACTTAACCACTGCTGGTTTTGTTTTGAGACACAGTTTCACGACGTAGATCGGGATGAACTCAAAACTCACAAGAGTTCTGCCCCTGCGCTCCTAAGTGCTGAGATTAGAGGGTCCCGCTATGCAGCCCTGGCTGTCCTGGAACTCCACACAGACCAGGCTGGCCTCGACTCTGCCTCCCAGGTGCTGTGATTAAAGGCTTGTGAGATGACAATGTGCTGTGCCCACCTTTTTAAGTTGGGAGCGGCTGGGGATCTAGCTCACTAGCAAAGTGCTTGCCTAGCATTCACAAGGTCCTGGCTTCGATCACTAGTACACCACCAATTAAATTAATAAATAAGACAGTGTAATTTGAAACGGGGCAGAGTGATACAGTACACACCCATAACCTCAGGACTGGGGAGGCAGAGGCAGATCAAGACCAAAAAGGGAGTTCAAGGCCAACCCTAGGCGGGGCATGGTAGTAAATACCTTCAGTCCCAGCACTCGGGAGGCAGAGGTAAGTGGATCTCTGTGAGTTAAAGGCCAACCTAATCTACTTTGTGAGTTCCAGGACAATAGTGAAACCCTGTCTCAAAAAATTTTTTTTAATTAAAATTAAGTTGCAGGGGGTTGGAACGATAGCTCTGAGGTTAAGATTAATGGCTGTTCCTCCAGAGAGGACCAGGGTTCAATTCCTTGCACCCACATGGCAGCTCATAACTGTCTATAACTCAAAATACCCATACCCATAATCTTTAAAAAACACTGAGCTAAGGGTGTGGCCCAATGGAAGAGCAGGTGCTTAACTTACACAAAGTCCTGACTTCAGTCCCCAGTACCAAGGACAAAACAAGCAAGCAGGTCAAATGATCAGTGCTCTTGCCTGTTCTTTTTCTAAGCAAATCCAGAATACCTAGGACATGAGAAGAAGCCCTGAGTTCAATCCCCAGTGGGGGTGGTGGGGGAGGTATCACATCTGTAACTTCTTGCCTGGTGGCCAGCTGGAGAACAAGGCTCAGAGCCTAGAAGCCCATACTCTAGAATTCACATCAACAGCCCACTTCAAAAAAAAAAAAAAAAAAAAGCGAGCTATTATCCAAGAGCAGGCCTTGGCCTTAGGGACTTCCCAGGCATTCTCATTAGGTGGTGTCCCCAGCCCCATAGAATAACAACCTGCTCTTCCTCTCCCTGCCCATTTCAGATCCTGCCAATAGCCTGGACGGTCCAGCTTCACACAAGAAAATGGAGGCATAGGGTTAAGAGTCTGAGCCACTTGCATGAAAGAAAAAATAGCAGGCTAAGTTCTCCTTCCCTGAGCTAGACAGTTCCCTCCAACTCAAATCCAACACACTTCAAAACAACCTGCCAAGAACTTGAAAAGATAGGGAGACAGCTCAGTAGTTCTGCTTCGCACGCCTCAGGGCTTGAGTTCAGATCCCCAGCGCCCACATAAACTGGGAGTGACCACACCCTCACCTAGCACTGTGGGGGCGGACACGGAAGGATGGCTGCCAGCTGAGCTCTCAGGTTCAGTGAGACCTGGACTCTAGGGAGTAAGGAGAGGCATGACTGGCCTCCTCTGGCCTTTGAGAGAGGTGCGCACCCCACACCACACAAACACCCCCCAAAAACAAAACGGACAGAAGCTAGGCAAGGTGGCTCACACCTGTAATCCCCAGAAGCTAGGCATGGTGGCTCACACCTGTAAGCCCCAGCCAGCACTCCAGCACGTGAAACAGGAGGATTACCGGCTGTTCAAAGTTAACCTGCTGCAGTTTAGAGACCAGCCTGCCTAGGCTACAAGCAGGAACCTGTCTTTAAGAAAAAAAAAAAAAAAAAAAAAGCTACCTTTTGCTAAACAGGATTTACTCGGCATCATCAGCAGGTGAAACTGGGGGTTCCTGTTGCTATTCATAACTTAAGCAGGCCAGGCGACAACACGCTGCCTCAGTGTGTACAGACACTAAGGGGTTGGCATCAGCCCAGGTGACAGCTTTGGGGAGAGCATCTGCCCCATGCTGGCACCTCTGCGGCCTCTCTATGCTCAGCTCACCAACCCTGGCCCACTGGTTCCCACTGGAGCAATCCCCCAACTGCACGTCCTGACGCTCAGATTCCCTGACACTGGGGTGAGCGGAGCCATTTCCCACAAGCAGGCCCAGACACAGCACGGAGTGAGGGGCTGCCATTGCAGGCGGCTAACGATGCCCCTGCTGGTTAGGCTTACCTGCCACCATGTCACCATTCTGGAGAGTGAATGGAAATTACAGCCAGCACAGGATAGTGTGTGTGTGTGTGTGTGTGTGTGTGTGTGTGTGTGTGTGTGTGTGTAATATTGTTCTGGAGATCAAAGGAAAACCACCCAGGAGCCAGGTCTTACTCTCCCTCTACCATGTAAGGCCTGCCCTGTGGTATCTAAAGCCCTGTCAATGGAACACATGCAAAGATGAGCATCCAGAGACATCCCCCCTGCCCCGCCCGTCCCAGTCAACAGCCTATGACTTGGAGTCTGGGCACCTGTCCTCACTCCCCACGAAGAAGCTAAACTGGCTTTAATTCTTTTAGCATGCCTTTACTTTCTGCCTAGGTAGGAAAGGCAGGAAGACTGGATGAGGAGCCCCACACAGGTGTCTGTACCCTCAGGCTTTGCGAAGACTGGACAAAACCTGGAACATGCTAAGCACCCAGGACATCACTTAAATGCAAGCCATGAAACCTCTCCGGAGTCTGAGTGGTACCCTGAACTTGTAGTGCCCCGCTGAACCCACAGGCCCGAGTCTCAGGGAGCACACATGGACTACAGCTATCACAGGCTTTACCAGTGGGCAGTAGTCAAAACAAGCTAGCATTCTTCCAGTTATCAGTGTGACCTTGGTAATGGCCTGGAGTTAGACCAAGGCCACCCTAGGGCCCTCCCACCTACCTAAGCGCTCAGTGAAAAGGGGGCCCATTTGACCAGACTCCGATCAGATGAACCACATATGCATTAGAAGTAATCTTATTTTCCCAAGGAAACAGTTAAGGGCTGTCGTGTGACTTGGTAGGAGGGTTCTCCACTACCATGGAGCTGTTAGGGTCCAAGTTCACAATGCCCCACACTACAGAAGAAAAAAAAAAAAGAAGTCTGTTTATTCGGTGATGCGGGTGAATCAGAACTCACGAGGGATGACTCAATGCCAACAGGATCAATTGCGTTTCTTTTCACTTTTCTTACAACACAATCTCAATATATAGCCCAGACTGGCCTGGAACTTTCTGTGTAGCCCAGGCTGTCTTCAAATTCAAGCTCCTCCTATCTCAGCCTTCCAAATAATAGGTGTTCACCACCCTAAACTCATCAAAACTTTTTTTCTTTTTAGCACTTAGGTGGAGGCAGGAATATCAGGAGTTCAAGGCCAGTATGGGCTACATAAAAAGTTTAAGACCACTTTGGGGTACTTAGCCAGACCCTGTCTTAGAGAACCTTAGAGAACAAATAAGCAGACCTGACGTTTGGAGCTAGAAATGTTGACTTCCTCTGGTGCACTATGACCCGAAAATACCGACTCGGGACAAGCCCCTCTGTAGAGATTAAAATCTCAATTCACACCTGTCTGTGCAACACGACTGAAATGAGGCCAGGTAAACTGAGAGCCACTGCCACAGCAAACCAGGTGGCCTCGTCTAGAATCAAGGTGATGCAGTAAGTCCCCTGGCACTGACATGGAAACCTGCAGTGCTTTTAACAAAAATCAGCGGTACCATTTTAGAAACAACTTCTGTGCCCAGCTCTCACATTTGCTAGAAAATAAAGGCCGGCCAATGGCTTCTCTAGATCAAACAGCACAAGTAATAGGCCCAATGCAACAGGGGAACCACAAAACTCCCTCCAAGTTCTACTAAGCTGCGGGGTTCACACTCAGGTCAAGATCACCCCCCGCAGACACACAGGAGCTTCCTGCAACTCCCATACTCGTGCAGTATGAGGCAGAAGTCACGAGCCAACCTGGATTGCGGGATGGGGCTCCAGGCCATGTCGGTCACAGGCGCCAGGACAACCACGGCAGCGGGAGGGGTCACCCCGATTTCCACCCCCCCACACACACACTCTCCAGGGAGAAGCGCGGGCCACCCGCAAGGCCTTGGGCAAAGGCCTGTGCTCACACACACACAAAGGACACGCCGCCTCCCCCACCCGCCCAATTGTCCCCATTCGAATTTTCAGGGAGCCGGGAACAGGTCACCTCAGAGACACGGGCCCCGGCCTGCGCCTGCGCACTGCGCATCCTCGTCAAGTGCGCCCCGGGAAGGGTGCGGAGGGCGAGGCCCGTGGCGGCCCGGCTGCCCTGCAACCGGGACGCAGGGGACATTACAGCGGCCCTCCCCACCGGACCGAGTACCCTGGGGACTCACCGGTGACCAGAAGGCTGGCGAAGAGGGCGAGAGCGTACATGGCGCCGCTGCACTCCGCAGGCTGCAATGCAGTTCGTCAGCTGATCCGGCGAATATAAATCTACCCCCAACCCCGACGCAGAAGCCAGTGCGCGTGCGCGGGCCCCGCCCCAACTGGGCGCAGCCTGACTCAGCGTGGTGCAGCGCGCCTGCGGGGAGGGCGGGGGCGGAGGGGACCTGGTGAGGGCCTGGCTGGGCGAGGAGGTGTCCTGGCCTCGGCGGGGGAGGCGGGGTGAGGTGGTAAAAGGAAAGCCCGTATCTGGTGACTAAATCAAGGTCAGGAATTGTACGTTATCTAACGTGCCTCTTTCCCTCTGCGATGTTCCCCTTTGAAGGACAATTATTTGGTTTTGAGACACAGTGTCACTATGGCCTTGCTGGCCAGCGTTTCAATGTGATGCCCAGGCAGACCTGGAATCCACAACGTCCTTCCTCAACTCTTCAGAGCACTGTTTGTGGGGAGAATGATTTTGTTTGCAGTCCCGGGTATTGAACTCAAGGCCTTATACTTGCTAGCCAAATGGTCTACCTTTGAGCTGTACACCCCCTGCCCGGCCCACTCCTTAGTTTTCATTATGAAATAGGGTCTCACCAAGTTCCCCAGGAAGGCCTTGAACCTGTGATCCTTCTGCCTCAGCCTTCCTTGTATAGTGGTTGTTAGTTTGTTGAGAGAGGGTCTCCTACAACTGGCCGTGTAGCTGAAGACTCATGGATCCCAGGCGGGCCTCGATCCTCATTATGCAGCCATCAGTCGCCCCCAACTCCTGATGGCTGCCTTCACCTCCTGAGTGCTAGGATCATAGGCACCACCGTATTTGTTTTATTTGGTGCTAGGGACCAAACCCAAGGCTTCATGAATGCTGATCAAGCTCTCTACCAACAGAACTCCATCTTCAGTCCCCACTTACTGTGACTCTTCCCGTTTTTACAGGTGAGAATCAAGAACAAACAGGTTTGCCAAAGTCGTTATACTCAGGACTCAAGCTCACCACCCACAGTTCTGTAATTGTCAGTCAACCCAGACTCAGAAAATGGCAAACAAAGGAAGCCTTTATGTGTGAGTTTAGGGACTACAGATGTCTAGATAGACTGAATCAGTGTTCAAGGGAAGGCAGGGAGAATGGAAACAGTAAAAATTTAATTTCAGAGAACTTGTGTGGCTTGGAGAAAGAACAGATGCTGCTTCTTCAATGGGGACTCATGACCGATGGAAGATGAAGACAAGAATGCATGCGGGGTGTGGCACCCCGTGCTTGCAGTTCTAGCACTGGGAAGGCTGAGGCAGGAGGATCTCCAGGCCCCTTAAACCACATAGCAAGACTCTGTCTCAAAATAATAAATAAATAAAATAAGGTTACAGAAATTGGTTTGGGGGGGTGGTGGGTGGGGACGGTCAGCTGTTAAGAAATCTTGCTGCTGGGGGGGGGGAGGGCACGGGAGGAGGGGAGGGAATGGGAGAGGGACCTGGAACTGACTTGTGAAGCAGCCTCGTTTCTTATCTAAATTTAAACTGGAAAAAAAAGAAAGTTATTTGAATGCATGTTAAACATTAATGTAATTTTTGAAAGGTTATATCTGATTTTTTTTTACCAAAATAAATCTGGAGAATAAAAAAAAGAAAGAAAGAAAGAAATCTTGCTGCTCTTCCAGAGGCCTGACCTTCAGTTCCCAGCACTCCTGGTGAGAGGGGCGGGGAAGGTGTCGCACCAGCTGTAATCCAGCTCCAAGAAGACCTGACACCTCTTGGCACACCTGCATTCATGTACACATCCCACCTGCAGACACACACACGCAATTAGCAGTGAAATAGATTTTTTAAATGTCTTTTGTGATTAGCCTGGGGTGGGGAGCACATGCCTTTAATTCCAGCACTTGGGAGGCAGAGGCAGGTAAATGTCTGTGAGTTCAAGACCACCCTAGACTACAGAGCAAGTTCCAGGTCAGCCAGGGCTACACAGTGAGCCCCTGTCTCAAAAACAAAAAGCAAACACACACACACACACAAAGTCACTACCAAGCTGGCACGGCAGATGACGCCTATGTTCCCAGCACTTGGGAGACTGAGGCAGGAAGGTCTAGAGTCCCAGGCCAATCGGGGCTACAGGTTTTGAGACCCTGTTTCAAAAAACAAAAAACACAAACAAACAAAACAGAAGCCAGTCATAGTGGCCCAAGCCTGTAATCCCAGACTGAGTTAAGAAGACCATCATGGGGCTGGAGAGATGGCTCAGAGGTTAAGAGCACTGACTGCTCTTCCAGAGGTCCTGAGTTCAATTCCCAGCAACCACATGGTGGCTCACAACCATCCGTAATGAGATCTGGTGCCCTCTCCTGGCCTGCTGGCATACATAGAGGCAGGATGTTGTATTCATAATAAATAAATAAAATCTTTAAAAAAAAGAAGACCATCATAATTCAGGCCAGCCTGAGCTACTAGAATGAGACCCTTTAGTCAAAAAAAAGGGGGGGAGGGGCTCATGGGGGATCTTAGGCAAGTTGGGGGAAGGGGGAGACATCTTCTTCAGTGGTGTAGTCACTGGTAAGGTGTCCACGCTCATGTCAATAATGTTCTCCCGTGCTCCTCATGAAACTGAGTGGGTCACATACACACACACACACACACACACACACACACACACAAAGGCATGTCAGGGGGACTAGCTGAGAAGAGGAGATCAGCAGGACAGGGACAAGACAGGGGTGAATGTGACCCAATGCATTACATACAAGCGTGGAAATGTCCTAGTGAAATTCATTATTATAATTAGTGTAGTCTAATAACATTTTCTTAAAGAATGGCGGACCAGGCAAGATGGCCTCAGTGGGTAAAGGTACTTGCTGCCAAGCCTGAAAACCTGAGTTCAATCCCTGGGACCCACATAATAAAAGAGGAGACTCAACTCCTGCAAGCTCTCCTCTGATCTCAGTTGTCACCACGACACATGTGTGCCTATACACACGCAAACAATACAATAAGTAAATTAATCTTTCAAAAGCATAAAAAGGTGGGGAAGTTACAGCCACTAGAAAAGGGAACAGGAAGTAAGCCAGAATTAGAGAAACCCACTGAGGATCATAGTAACAGAAGCCACCCCGCCCTACCCAGCCCTCCCCGCCACATTCCAGCCCAGGTAAGGAAAGTCAAGATGGCCCAACAAACCCTCTCACAGCTTTCAGAAATTGACCCTGAGGCTGAGCAGAATGACACACATACACACCCAGGGACCGTACCCCCAGGTGACAGGAGGAGAGGACTCTCAGCACGTTGGCACGGGCCCTTAGAGGTTATCAGTCCCCTTCCATCATTGTACCAATGTGGAAAATAAGGCCTGGGGAGAAACAGACAATCGTCAGAGATCACACAGCCCTTGGGGCAACAGTCTTGTCTGGAAGCAGGTCTCCTGACTCAGGAGCCCAGCCTTCTTCCAACAGCCCGCAATCTGCTCTCCCTCCCTCAGAACACCCTGCAGACACACTGGCCTCTCAACTCCCTTCTCCGGTTCCTGCTAACAGCTCCCACTTCCCCTGGGGAGCCAAGTGGGGAAGTGGGCACCGAGCAGGGCTCTGAGCAGCAAAAGAGAGCTGGAAGATTTGCTCTCACAGAACACGCTGGCTCCAAGCTGAATAGGTGAGAGAGTAAGACTGTTCAAGGTCATTCCCTGCTACATAACAAGCTTGAGACCAGCCTAGGATACAGGAGATACCATCTCAAAAGAGATGTCCGTGCATGAGTGTACACAGTGACTGGATTATCACGTTTTTCCCCAAATCACTGGGTACCAAAATCATCTATAAAAGCCCTCTTAGAGCATTAAATCCAGAATTTGGGAGGTGGCAGGAGGATTAAGAGTTCAAAGGCAATGTCTCAAAGGGGGTGGGCATTGGAACGGCTTAATGAGTGCTTGCCCCAAGCTTGATGACCTAATTAAATTCCCAGGGCCCAAATGACAGAAGGAAAAAAAAACTGCTCCTCAAAAGTTGTGTTCTGGTTTCCACAGGAATATGGCATCTGAGTGAACACGCACACATATGCCCACACTTCTCTCTAAATATATTTAATGCAATGAACATTTTAATTTAAAAAAAATGGGGCTAGCAAGATGACTCAGTCGGTAATAGCTTACCAACAATTGCCAACCAGAGTTCAAGATGGAAGGTGAAGACCAACCCCAGTGAAATTGTACTCTGACCTCCACAAACACCATGGCATGCACCTTCCTCACCCACCATACACACAACAATAAAAAAAGTAAGCCTCAAAATAGTGCGTTAAGTAAATAAATACATGAAGAATCCTCTTGACCTATGCATAGGTATTAAGAGCTATGAAGCCCTTGGGGCCTTTTGCCTGGTCACACTGTTCTAGGAACCTTCAGGGGAACATTTATTGAAAATGCTCACAAAGGGTTCCTTATGAGAGGCCTGGAACCAGGAAAGATCTCAATGACCAATGAGCACTGGGGTGATAAGGAAACTGGGGTGATGAGGACAATGTGCAGAAACAGACTTCAAGAAGGAGCGGGAAGGAGCAAGACTGGTGTGAAGCCAGCAAGGTAATCAAGGATCTAAGAACAGCTGGCAGAGCAGGACCCCAAAGTTCTGTGTTAGAGTCAAGTCCTTCTAGACTTCCCGGGGAGTCCTGCAGAGCCGGCCTCCCCCAATCCCAAAGCCTCACAATGAGGGGTCATGTGTACTATCTTCTGTGGGTTTGAGATAGGATCTCCTTGTGTAGCCCAGACTAGTCTGGAATTTGCCATCCTCCTGTTTCTGTTCTTCAAGCGTTAGGACTACAAGTGGGTGAAACCATGCCTGGCTCTTAAAAGTGTGATTTGTTCAGGGAGAGAGGAACCGAGACCTGGAATCGGAGAGCACAGTGGCCTCATTAATTAACTCATCCTCTGTCACTCATCGACGTGTCTACATGGCTTAGGATTCTGAGGAAAAATAAGTTAAAAAGTATATAAGAAGATGCAAACGTAAAAAGAAAACAACCCTACCTCCATCTCCTGGAAGCTAAAGTTTGCAGGGAACTGAAAAGACATTTTGCCCAAGAACCATGAGCCACACTAGTAGAAGAGTTCGTGACGATTTTTGTTTGTTTGTTTGTTTTGTTTGTTTT